CCAAAACCCTGAAACCTGAAACCCTAAACCCCACAATACAATCCTGCTAGCTTGACGTCCTAAAGACACCTAGAAGCCCCGAGCCCCACAAGCCCTAAACCCTATGAGCCCTACAAGCCCCAAGCCCTAGACCACAGACCCTATAAACCGGTGTAGGGTTTAGGTTTTAGGGTTTAGGGCTTAGTGTTTAGGGTAGAAGCCCTGTATTCCACAAAGCAAAATGACGAACTACTTGCCACATGTCAACAACCCCCAAACCCAGAACCTTAAACACCCTAAACCCAAACCCCAAGACACTAAACCCTAAAACCCTAAGCCCTAAACCCTAAACCCTAAAGCCCTAAACCCTAAACCCTAAACCCTAGAACCCTAAAACCCTAAAGCCCTAAAACCTTAAACCACTGAAGCCTAAAACCCTAAACCCTAAAACCCTAAAACCCTAAACCCTAAACCCTAAAACCCTAAACCCTACATCCGAAACCCTAAACCCCAAGCCCTAAACCCCTAAACCCCTAAGCCCCTAAACCCTAAACCCTAAACCCACTAAGCCCTAAACCACTGAACGACTGACCTGCTGGGGCATCCCAGGTCTGCCTCGCTGGGCTCGCAAAGTCTGGAAGGTTCTTTGTACATGACCGAGGCGCCCCTCATAGTTTAGGATTTAGGGCTCTAGGGCTTTAGGGGTTTAGGGTTTAGGGTTTAGGGTTTAGGGTTTAGGGTTTAGGGTTTATGGTTCAGGGTTCTAGGGTTTAGGGTTTAGGGTTTAGGGCTTTGTACATGACCGAGGCTCCCCCCCATATGGAGGTTTCCGAAAATAGGGGACCCTAATGTAGTATCCTAAATAATAGGAGCCTTATTATAATATTATAAGGACCCCAGAATAAGGTACCCCTAGATTTCGGAAAGTCCCATATTTAGGATTTAGGGCTTTGGGTTTTAGGGGTCTAGGGTTTTAGGGTTCAGGGTCTAGGGTTTCGGGGTTGTAGGGCACTTGAGGGCACTTCTCTAAAACTAGGCCCCTTTTCAGGAGTCCTTGTTATAAGGGTCCCGTGCTATATTGGGGACCTAAAAAGGGACCCTAATTTAGAGAAGTACCCATATGGGGTTAGGGTTTAGGGCGTTTGGCGGCGTTAGGTATGGGTTTGGGATAGATTGAAATTTGTTTGTTGTTTAGCATACAGCCCAAAGTTTACGTAATTTTGGGGACTGTTGAAATCGACACCTCGGGTAGTTCTCTAGATTGGGGCACAGGAGGAAAGCACAAACGGTGTGGCCAGGTTGAGGGCGGAGGGTTCGCGATTTTTTGGGTTTATCTACTTCTTGGGGGTTAGGGTTAAGAGTTGAAAGTTAATTGTTGTGGTTTTCCGGCGCTTTTAGGGTTCGGGGTTCAAGCAAGGCTGCTGAATCTAGGAGGGTTTCTGCAGAATCCAAAACGGGGCCCGATCCTTGAGACCGGAGGGCAAGCCCAAAGTGCCTGCATCCTAAACTTCAACACCCCGGTATGCTCGCTCGAACCATAAACCTCATCGCACCCTTTGTGTACATACAGAGCGAGACAGAGAGAGAGAGAGAGAGAGAGTGAGAGCCGGGGAAAGAGAGATTAACCCATAACCCCCTAAACCCTAAACCCCGAACCACAAGAACTAAACCATTCTCATAGAGCCTTATCCTTTCATCCCGAAAGCCTGAACCCTCAACCCTAAACCATGGCTGCCAAACCCTAAATCCTCAACTCCTAAACCCTGAATCCAGAACTTTGGATTTAGGGTTTAGGATCTCTATAAAAACTATAAAACCTAAACCCTATTATCCTAAACCCTACATCCCAAAACCCTCAACCCTAAACCGCGCCTCACAGGACAAGTGGCAGGAGTTTGAGGTCGGCAAGAACGCCATCCTACAGCTGGAGAAGGAGTCCGAGCAGGTCACTTGGGGTGTAGGATTTAGGGTCTTAGGGGTTTAGGGTTTAGGGTTGACGGTTTAGGGTTTAGGGTTTAGGGTTTAGGGTTTTGTTTAATTTGCTCAAGGCTTTGCATCAAAGGAAGGTATAGTATTGTCTGTTGAAATCTGCATCACCTTAAGTGCCCGAAACTCGGGGAACCATCGTACATGTCTCACCAAGGTCAAGACAGGATAACATCCGCCAGCAGTGTATATCTTACATACTGAACGGTATAGGGTTTTGGGTTAGGGGTTTAGGGTTTACCTAAAACTTAAACCCTAAACCACCCCCTAAACGGCTACCCCTAAACGCGAAACTGCTACGCCCCTTAACTTTTCAAGCCCTCAACATTAGTTTGAGTCCGGGTAGCTGCCATAAAGTTTGAAACTCGGTGCCCTCATATCTTAC